TTTGATTGATAAATATCAATTTTTTAAATTAATGTGTAAATCATCGAATAGAGAGTTATAAAGAGAAATAATAATAGTTAAGACTAAATTTTAAGATGAATTTATGATAATAATTAATTATAAGATCTTATACGAATCTAAATAATCAATAATTAAAATAATTTTGGTATAAATTTCAAACTTGAAGGTCATTTTACTCTAAAAAAAGTGAGAGATGTCCTTTACGCTACTCAAACTAGATTATGGCAGTGTTTGGAGTGGCTTTTCTATTATGCTTTTTCTTACAATATCATTAAAATACTAACTTATTATAATTAAGTTAATTTTAATTAATATTTTGTATAATTTTAATGGTGTTTAACATAATTTTTTGAAAGCAATTAACAAATAATAATTTTTTTATAATAAAATATTAAAAAAATCATAATTACAATATTTCACAATAAATCTAAACACAACCTATAAGTATGTTTAGTTTGAGTCATCATTTCTTTTTTATTAAACTTTTTAGTATCCAAAAATCATATTAAAATCTAATTAATTTTGAATTGAGCCAAATCAAACCTTATAAAAAGAAAGTTATTCTAATACTTATTTGTCCATTAATAATATTGGAATTTGAGATTTTATCTAAGAAAACTAAATATTTTCCACTCAAACTAATAAATTATTAGTGTTAGAGTCATTGTTTGAATAAACAAATAAAAAAAAAGAAAAAAAAAAGAGAAGCTAAAAGCTGTCTTTCACTTCCTTCTCTTCATTTCAGTTCTTTTAATAATCAAACAAAAAAATTTTTCACTTCCCTTTTATTCCCCTCAACCCAACCCCAATTTACTGTATATGAAAACTTACAAAAAAAAAAAGGATTGCGAGAACAATTAAATAAAATGTTGCTTTCTTTGTACAATCAACAAATATAAAGAATATGTTGAGGTTAATGTACAAAGCAACAACTTCGCTAAAGCTATTTTTCCCTCTTCTCCTTTTCCACCCCTTTCTTCTTTTTCTTAATTTATCATTGTCATTATTAGTTTTTGGTTTTCCTTTTCTTTGGGGAGGAATGATGGGTGAGGCATCAACTATCACAACTAATTGAGGCTATCGATGTCTTGATACAAACCACCTAAAGGATTTACATCCCTCTATGGTATGAAAGAATTAATCCACCAACCCCAAGTTTTCCACACCCGACAAAATTATTTACATCTTTCCATCCCATAAAAAAAACCGCCTATGTTGTCGCGAAACATAAATAGTCCATGGTGTCTGTTTTTCTTTAGTTTGGGCATCAAAACCAACACACAGCAGCAAAATGATGCTCTTCCCATGCAATCAAAATATCCAGTTTATAATTCAAAAAGGCAGGAGATTAAACTGAGTGAGCATTATCGGCAGAAAAAGAATTTGCTTGTGATGGTAGATACTCAGCCTCCAAAGAGATTCAGCTATTTCATGCGGAATTCATGTCTGAATACGGACACATTCTGGGTGAACTTGTCTCTGTTCTTTGAATCTATGCTTCGGGTAACATCCGCCATTAGTTTGTCAAAGCAAATGTCAAGACGTTGACGTTGATCCACCGGCTGCAAAAGGATGCACATGTGTTATATGAAGAACAATAACATTCCAGAACAGAGGAAAAGAAACAAATGGCTGGAGGGGAGAAGCATGGCAACTTAAATTTAATTTAGGAAAGATCATTAAATTTAATCTTTTATTTGCACATAATGTCTCCATTTCTTCAGTAATCTAATTCAGTATGACCATAGGTCAAGGGACACATCATAAGGATTGATTATCCAAATGGTGTTCCTCCACAACAGCTGCCGGTTCATTTCATGGTGGGAAGACAATATGACCTTGGCTAACAGTAAGAATTAGTGAGTAATTATCTTGCAAACCAATACTACAGAAAGTGGGAATGCCATTTCATTCACCAAAAAAAGAAAAAAAAAGAAAAAAAAAAAAGTTTGCTTTAACAACTATCAACAGAAAAGCAAGTACAATATCGTCCAAGGAAACTTCACCTGTGAAGCCAAAATTCGAGCTTTCAGATCAGCAAATATCTGCAGGTCAATGTTGTTTGTCAGCCAGAAACAATGGTAAACAGCAGACTCTGAAGTCTGAACAGATGAGAAAGATTAAGCTCAATAAGAAATAAGCAACAATGAATCAGTCAAAAGCTAAGCACGCATCTAACACAAAGTCCCCTTAACAGGGCCCTTTTACCTTGCTGAGGGGTTCACTGCATAACTAGGAGGGGGAAAAAGACTTTTTTTAGAGTTAATAAATCATATTATTGTAGATGAAGACAACAAATGAATAAATGGTGTGTAATTTTGAAATCTTCAATTGCTTCAAGGTTTGTTTCTCCACATGTAAAAGACAAATAACACTTCTTAAATTTTTACATCAAATTCAATTAATCTATAACCTAGAATAAAAATCAACTCACAGTTAACTAGAAGCAAAATTTATTTTCCATGGATTGAAGCTAAACAAATTTATTTTGTTGGTCCTTAAGGTAAAGCAACAAACAAACGATAAATTGGCTTAACTACTGGGAGTATGAGATTTGATGCCACCTTTTGCCTTTACCCTTTCTGTGACAATGTGTTTCTGTGGCTTTTCTTTTTGCCACAATGATGCAAGGTTAACAGACAGAAATAGGGATGTAAGAAAGAAAATAAAATAAGGATCTTACTATTTCAGTTCCTTTTCCATTACTCATATTACTATATTGCAGCATAGCATAATGAAAATTTTCATAAAGAGAGTGAACTGTAAATTTGAATGGTGCAAATAAAAATCATATTCAAACAAATCACATAAATAAATAATTAATCATACCCTGACAACTTGAGAAAATCTAACAGAGGACATTAGGAAAGAATCAATAAACTATCACCTGCTCATTAACCAGAATTAAGCTCAACATAGGTCTGCTCAGACTCCACTGGTTTCCACATTCATCAAATAAAACTAGCTCAAATAGTGTTTTCAATATCTGCAGTTAAAACAAAATAACAAAGTTATTGAACTCCCGCCAAAAAAAAAAAGAAAAAAGAAAAAGAAAAAAGAGAGAAGAAATGAATGAAACATGAAATTCAACAATCAAATTAAAGGAAAAAATATATATAAATATATGTATATATAAAAACGCCTTCATTCCCATTATCAAAAGAACTTTATGTTATATAATGAAAAGCAAACAAAGCAAAAGTGCGGAAATTTGAAGATGAACCTCCAAGACCCCTAGCCTGTTGTTTTACCACTGGGCCTGTGGGCCAAGGCTCCATTGGTCTATGAATGATATGTATCACACCATCAACTATTGGGTAAGCCCTGAGGGCTCGTTTGGTTGGTGGTAAAAGCTATTCCTTGGTCAAACTATAAAACACAAGCTAAATTTATGAAACTTCCTGGGGAAGCTAGGAATAGTTAAGTCTTAATGTCAATAATGTTCTACTAAACTAAGGGATGAATGAGGAATATGTATTCCTTTTGCTATTGTAAAAGGAAAATTAGACATTAAGACTTAACTATTCCTAACTTCCTATAGGAGTTTCTCAATTTTAGCTAGTTTTTATAGTTTGACCAAGGAATAGTAATTACCTCCAACCAAGCAAACCCTTCAGGTTTATGATTTAGGTACTAATTGGCACTACTGTGATGCTTGGTTACAGAGAATTTATAACAATCACTTGAAAGGAAAACACATATTGCCTTCTTCCAGACAAGAAATGGATGGTTAGCAACCAGGACTGTGTGCTACAAGAGCATTTATCACTTACTTGTGGGAACAAACTAGGACAATCAGCAATATGCCGAGCAAGATTGATTGCAGAAGGTAAAGTGGGTGACTCCCCCATGGTGATGTTGTTGAAGTAGAAAGCAGCCAGATTATCCACCACAGATGCACACTGAAATGAAATATTCAAAACATTGAGATTAAAGGTCTATGGTTAGGCGTTGGGACAGGAAGAGATAGGTAACATTGAGTACAATCAAATTTAGATCTGAAAACCAGAAGCTTCAATCACATGATATGGAAGGCGAGATATTGCAATCTGAAAAATACAGTATGGTACATACCTGTGTTGAGATATTTGAATTCAGACCTTTAAGACCAGATTCAAGCGAACCAACAATCTGTGCAAAGGTAGCTGTATCTAAATTCAATATAAAACCCATGTGGCTACTGAACAGAACCTCCAAGAATGAGAAGTATGCCTTTGTTAACTGTAAAATATGCAGTAAAATATCTGAAATTGTCAATACAACCTCAAGCGCAAAACAGCTAAATAAGATGTCATAAGCAAACACTTTGAACTGACCCCAACTTAGAAGAAATATCCAAGATATTTGGTGCTAAAGTCATGCAATGTACAGAGAAATATCATCCTTTTAGAAGCTCATAATATTCAAGAAATCTTTCTAGTCCAAGATCAAGCACTAATGGAAGTAGCTAGACATCTGTTGTTTAAGTCTTGTTTATCATGATGTCTATCCAAAAAAATTGAAAAAGCAATCCAAAAGAAAACCAAGCAATGGAGCTACTGCCACACCACAGTCATAATTACCTTCTGAAATGCCAATAAATCAGCTAAAGGAATGGACAGTGTCATCTTTAGAGCAATATCAAGTGCATCAGATAGTGCTCTATCACCATACAGCTCAAACACACCAAAGTTGCAAAAGTTTCCCGCAAGAGCTGCCATTTGGAGGAAACACACAATTACATCAACTACTGTTACATATCAGAAAAAAAAGCTGTTTGCTTGGTGAATATGAACTAATCACGGTAGGTTAGAAATGAACTTGTGAAGTTATCGAAGACCCAAAACTAGATTAAAAGAATCAAATTGATCATAGGCAAGAAAATGTTGCATACAAGTTATCTAATATCTTAAGCAAATGACTGCCCCATTTTGGTGTTTGAAAAATGTTATTTCTGAGAAAGTGGATAAAAGATTCCATATCTGCCAAAGAATATTTGTCCAAAATGGGTTTTTTCTTTTACTTTGGCCGTCCCTAAGAGATGGATTGGAGATACTGAAACAAAGGCATTCTTTTTTTATAACTTGTTTATTTTAATTTATTTCTTGAAAAGGTCAGAGTCAAATATTTTTCAAACTATGAAAATGAATCATCTTCACCAACTTTCCCATTTCAATATCAGCCTTAAGAACACAGAGGTCAACGCATTCATAAGATCCTGATCAATTTGAAAAGTTTAATGAAACCCTGATTAGGAGAGGATCATGGTTGGTTATTGGGAACATTAGTTTTTTTTTGGCCATTGAAAGTTACATATTTCAAGGTTTACACTTACAGAAAATAGGGTTGAGGGTCAATAATATAGTTAAGGAAACCTGCTCATAGCCTCATAGCATGCATCTATTAAGAATGTAAAAACACATTATAGTCTAACCTCTTGAAAGAATTGTAATTGAAATCCAAATTCCCTTGTACTTGTAGGCATACATATCAGCAGGATTTGGAAGAGATAGTATCCTTGTTCCATAAACAAGAAGTAATTTACTAACTTCTCGGAAAAGAAGTATGCCATTTGGAGAAGATGAGTCGAAAGTCACCCGATGAGCTTTGTTCAACACAAACTCAGCCATGAATTTTAACAATGGGGTGGTAACCTGTCCATTAAGTCAAACAATAAGGTTTCCAGTGATGAGTTAATCAGATAACACTGTTGCAGTGACGTGCACATGTAAATAAAATAAAATGAATGCAAGACCATTTACAAGTTCTGAAGTTCCCTAGCCAAAATTTTCTTGAGTAAGAAGAAAAATATTATGATGACCAGAAGACTAACCGTGCTTTGAATGCTGGTTACTCTTGATGAAAAAAAGTATAACTTCTAGAAAGTGTTGAATGGGTGAATAACACAAGATGTTCCAATTATTAAGAAGTTTAGATTTTAGATGGCCAGAACAGAAAAGTGGTCACGCATCGTAAGCACTGATGACCTGGGACTAGAAGAATGCATGGCAGCCAACAATTTGATATTTTATATGGCGGACTAGAAGAAAGGATTCAAATTTTCAAGAGAATAAATAAGACAAGCTAGGTTGAGAACTATATAACAGAAGAAACCTTGTTAGAACATGAAATTAACACCACATACCTCTGGTGTGTCAATCCAATGAGTAATGCCTTTCAAGAGAAGTGGCATATGAGTGGGATATAGCCAATCAAAGAGTAGACCATATGATTTACGGCTAAACGAAATCAAGAAAAAGAAATTATTCAAACATTAGTCAATAACTAAAAGCAGGCAGCATTCAAGAATTGCACAAGTAGGACTAACCTGTTTGTGGCCATTGCAATACCTCTGAGATCTCTCATCAATCCAAACAAAGCATACTTCACTGTGTCAGTACGAAACATTGAATCAGGTGTTGACTCCAGACTAAGAACCACCTGAAGCACAAAAAAACATTTCTTCAATAAATCAAATCAAAGCCAACAGACTAGTAACCAAAAATAACATAAAAGTCTCCCCAACGGAGCAGAAAAAGAAAAAAGAGGAAAAGGAAGAGGGCATTCATGCACATATACTAACAATTATGGTGATGCTATCAGTAACAGTACAACAAGTGCAAGTACATGCAGGAATTACGGGCGAATATTTTCGTATTTTTTGACAGCACTACTTTATGAACTGGACTAAAAACTACTTTCAACATGATCAAGAAATTATCTTTTATTTGACACACAATGAGGGTATAAAAGCATAACCATGCCATCTGTGTGTGCGTGTGTGTGCATGTCAGAGAGAGATTTTACTTGCAAAAGTGGTTGCATTGAAGACCTAAATTTCACAGCGCTATCCTCCATAAAAATTAACAAGCCAATGGTGTAATAGAAAGTTGTTCTGCTGCGAGAGCATCCAAGTTCTTCTAAAAAACGAAAACGCTCCCTCTGAAATTAAAATTTCTTGTCATCCAGAATTCAAGAAAATTTCACTCAAACAAATCAAAATTATTAAAGAGACATTTATGTTGCCAGAGGAATTACAGTGTGATTTGCTATCATAAATTTAACAGTATCCAGCTTCAGAAGCAGCTTTCCAGTCATGTATCTGCAAAAGAAACGACACTATATTGAAATAGGGTATATGTGACATTACTGGATAATACAAAAAAAGGATTTGATTATTTTAGCCAAACATGGAGGGAACAACCGACCCTGATGCCAGGTCCAAGAACAAGCTTAATGTATGATCAATGACCTCGCCCTGAAAAAAGCACCAGTTAATCTAAAAGGTGAACTCCAACATAGGCTAACCAAGATGTGGGAAGAATATAGCAGTCACCTTTGTACAGCACTTTAGGTTTGTGGCAATCTTCCCAACAATCACATTTAACACTAATAGATGATCATGAAGTCCAAGCAGCTCAGATAATCGGGCATAGAACTGCTGCAACAGAGAGGGAAGCCTCAAGTAACACCTTGATAACATAATTTCAAATAAAATGGATTTTATTTACCTTGGATGAATGGATTGCCTGATCACCAACATAAGACTTCCGGAAATGCTGAAAGAAGATGAGAATTGCTTGATCAAGTCTTTGCTTACTTAATTCACCATACCTCTGCCAAGTGCAAACCAAAAAGTTATTTTATCATCCAGTTCAACAATAGTATATTGTTATGAAAAAAGAATATAGTAAGGTTTAAAAAAATTCTAATGTAAGAAGCACAAATGGGGAAAGAAACACCATAAGCAAGTAGTTATAGATGATTTGTTGAGCAACAGGAAATTTCAACTTGTATACCTGACTATGTAATCCACTATCAGTGACATTTATCAATTGAAAAACACGAGCAGAGAGTTCTGCATCAAGCACTTCTTGTGCCTCCACACTGCATTACAAAATTTAGCAAAAGGATTGATAACTTCATCCAAAGAACACGAGCCATGTGAAACTTGAAGAAACAAATAAAATGAGAGAGAGTATTAGCAGTTTACCTACTACCAGTACATGGTTTTATTTTGAGAATGGCAGCTATGATATGAACAATCCAAGCAAGTTTAGCTTCAGTAATAGAGAGCTCACTGTTATCAAAGGTCTGCAATTGTGCTATTTTCTGCATTGGGTAATTAAAGCATTCATTACAACTAAATCATAATGAGAAAAAGTGTACCATGTATTAGAATATAAAAGAGGAGGAATCCCCAACAGTAGTCCATACCGTATATGATTGCAGAATAGGCTCCATTATGTTAATTATATAGAAACCACTTCTTTCACACTGCAATTTAAGGAACAAAATAATCAAGAGGAAATTACAAAAAATCATAAGAAGAGGGATGGAGTAAAAGATGCATGTTTTAAAAATCAAACTAGACCATTGGTCATATTGCAAATGAAACAGCCAAGGGAATAAAAAAATCCAAACATCTTCAAGCTACAAAAGTAACAATTAGAGGAAGCTACCAAACCTGGAATCTACAAAGGTGAGGCATGTATTCCAGCTGATCCTGAAGGACTTCAACATTGTCCAACAGATTTTCAGAATTATCATCAGGGAACCCAGACTACAATAAACAAAGAGAAATGACGTTAATTTTTCTATCCCAATTATATTTTGTCATTCCCAAAGGAAAGAATGAAATACCATACCTGCAGAGAGTTGAATCTTGATGAGATAAACCCTTCAGTGATCTTAGGCACAAACTCGTCCAGTGAACTTGGTGCATCACTCTTTAAGTACGGAACGGATGCCACCAATCGAAACCACAGCCCTAATAGGTGGTACACACTGCTGCTGGCCCACTGATGGAGGATTAAACAAAAGCTTTTAATGTTGTGGAATGTATTATGAATACAAATAAGCTGTTTAAGATTCTATGAGAAATGGTTTTCAGATTTCAGGATCCTCTGTTAGATCAAAACTAGTCATGTTCATACATTATTTTTGAAAAAGAAGAACATATTGAATGCTTATAAAAGAAAAAAAGATGGCAAGGCTTTAACATGCCATAAACACCACTCAACCTGCCAGGATTGCAAAGACTTCAATGTGAACTCAGCCACCAACCGTATCCAATCACTATAACCCTCCACATTCACAAGCTCTGACAACTGTAAGCAATTTTGTAAAGTTAATGAACATGAATTATGAATAGTCATTCTCATCATTACAAAACAAGAAAGTTTCAATAACAGGAGATTATGCTCTTTTAACATTTCCCTGAATTGCGTACCATAAAACTCATAGAGTGAGATTAAGAAACTCTTATAGGGAGAGCCCAACAATATGCATGAAGACTACCCTGTGGTTGTGGATACATGTATGGACTTCCAACAATATAATTTCTTGTCCCACTTACATAATTTTTACAAGCCAGATTGCTGATGCACAGCAATAAAACACAAGAAATTGAAATTCATTGCAGTACTAACATCAGAAAACATCAAAACATAAACAAACTAGACAAAGATTATATCTACAATCAACTCCAAGTCATATGCTAAAATATTATTGAATAGAATTGATTAGCTTCTATCTGATAAGCAGTTAAACCTAAATAACCAGGAACATCAAGTATGCAATGTTAATTTGTAATAAACTTTTTATTAAGATGTATAAAATGAAAAAGTTGACATTAAAAAATTAGACAAAGTACCTGGTAATTCACTTTGAAACGTCCAAGAAGCCGACAGTACTCATGGTAATTATCATGATCAGCAAGACCTGATTTTCAGCCCAGATACAAATCATAAATAACAGGAATTAAGGAAAAGATATAGCAAGGGAGGTTATGACCATACTATGAAACATAAAATTATTTAGAAAAAGAAAAGAAAGAAGAACAAGGAGAAAAACTCACAGATCCCAGGTGAAACTCAGTGTGAGTACTATGCTACAACATAACAAATAAAAATGTAATAAACAAAGTATAACAGACAACACCTTGGCCTGTTTGGAGAATTTCTTTAGTTCCCGTCATTAATTGAACCAAAAACTTTGTCTGGGCACCATCACTTGTAAATAAAGAGCGCCTTACAGATGCTAGTCTCACCAAGCATTCCAGTGCCTGGAAAGAAAGCAAATACAATCTCTAAGACAAGTTGTTTGAACCAGCGAAGTTTATGGATTGTCAGCAAGAAGAACCCAGATTTCTAAAAGAAGAAAAGAATGATGACACAAAACACTCTACAACTTTCAACAGATGAAAAGTCTTCCATCATATGTTGACAACATACACTATATAACAAGAAAAAACAAATCATGGCAGTTATCAAAATTATGCCTCATGCCAATAGAACGGATTTCTCCCCTTCAGATCCAGTTTTTTGGTTAGAAAAATAATTAAACCTAAGACATAAGCAACACAACAAACGTTGATCATGGCAAAAGCTGTTCCTTGATTCAATAATAGCAGATAAGCCATCCACTTAGGTTGAACTTTGGATTACAAAATATTAAAGTTTGTCCTTTATAATTTGTATATATTCTTACATTTCTGCCAACCAAATGGGGTACTGCTAGAAGGAAAAAAAAATGTTTCTCAAATTTTACAATTGATATTCTGTGTTACCCTTCCTACACATATGCCACATTATAGCTATTATATTTTTAACCACAACAATATTTTTCCAATCTTGATTTGGCCACTTCTTCCTAACCTGACTTGCAATTTTCTACAGAATCATTTAGAACTTTCAACTCTTTCTTTGTCCTCAAAGAGGCTGCACAAAACAGAAGATAAAGTGCCCCTAAGGAAGGCTTCTTCAATACTAAAAAGACTTACATACTTTCTCTCCCTTCAGAACTATCATGATTTTGAAAACCCATCAAGTTCAATTCGGAAAATACTTTAGGCATGTCTTTAGTACGCAAAAAGAAAAGCTAGAAGAATAAAACCAACCTCCTTTGAAAGTGGGGCCTCTGTAATAGCATAATAATCAAAAAATATCTGAAGTGTAGAAGAATCCTCCAATAATGATCTCCAAGATGCTGGAATCTGTAGGGATTCCAACACAATATTAAAAGAAAAAAAGAAAGAAAAAAGACACTATATGAAAAGAATTTTCAAGTGACTAAAATTTTGCATATTGTCGGAAGGTATTTAATAGGCACCTGAACAGTACCAAACTCTTCAGAGCTCTCATCAATTGTTGTCCCAACAAAATCAAAGGATAAGCATTTAAGTGCAAGAGAAAGGGACAGCCCTTGCAACTGGCTTGCAACTATAGAAGAACATAACAGAGAAAAATTAGTACAACAGTCAACAACAAAATGGGCACCTTAAAAGATCAAAGAGTGATGAAAGGGAGAAAAGTGGCAGGTAGCCATATGCAATGTAAGAGTAAACTTAACAAATTACCATCATTTTTCAGTTGGTTCAATGATGTTAAGGATATCTGAAATATTTGCAAAAGTAAGTTATCCCTAAAGGAGCAAGCCACCCTTCGATGATGAGGTGAAGGCAATCCTGGATTTGGCTGAGATTAAGATTAAGGAGAAAAAAAAAAATGCACACCAGCTATCAGTAATCCATTTCTTCACCAATAGTAAAAGCTTGATACATACATGTAAAGAGAATGGCTTAATGTAACATGGTATCAGATTTTAGGCATATCTAAAAATAACCAGATATTAGATATCAGACTGACAACCTCCCTATTCCTAATGATACAAACAAGGTAGCACAAGATTTGTCCTACACTGAAGAGAAACCAAATTATACATTATTGCAGCTACATAACAGAGACACTGATTAAATACTTGATTCAAGGGATTGGAGTTGGCCTTAAATTTACAATGCAAAACAGACTCCAAAGGGGATACATAAGTACTATCTGGAAAATAAAATGCAACTCCAATTTCTTTAGTCATACAAAAATTCCAGATCACTGCTAAATTGAAATAAATGATTTCAAATTCATATCTCGCACTAGATTAGCCTTCTAATAATGTATTCTAAACAACTGAATGATGAATAATATTTAAAAAAAAAAAAAAAAGGATCTTGTCTTTTAAATAATGAGTGTGTTGTTAAAGGTATTGAAAGATACAAGTCATCCCCAAAAAGGAAGGAACAAATATGCAAAAGAACCTAAGAATTAAAAAGTGAAACATAGGTTGAAAACCAACCTGATTCATCTCAGACACAAGTTGATTCAAAATCTTTAAACCAATGGCATAATGATCTGAAGTTCCCTGTTAAGAGAAATTAATAAGCAAGAAATGTCATCATTAACTTAGAAATTACCAACCAGGAAATGGTCAATATCAGCTAATAAGTAATTCATTAAAAAAACAGGACTACAAAAGAAGCCATTACAATAAGCATAAGCAAAAAGAAGAGAGAAGAATCAACTGTGGGAAGATGGAAAAAAGTTGACAAAACCAATAAAGAACTGCCTTTTAAGAATCAAAGTTAAGTCCAACGGAGAATAAAACAGGTGACGTAATAAACCTTCCAAATAAATTACATTACCAAATCTAAACAACCAAACAAGGAATATCAGAGCCACTCCATTTACTAACAAAACCTGATTTAAAAGATTTTAAGAGGTTAATGAAAATACACAATCATCAGAATCAATATGGTCCTTCAATGAAGATACGAAACTTAGATCTAAAACTAAAGAAACATTAATGACCGTAGATGCAAGTGCATGCCAGAGCATATGGACTAGAACCTTACCCTATAAGCAAAAGAATTGCTTGGTAGAAATGACAGAAATATGAAAGAATAAAAATCTCCTTGATCTAGTCATGGTTATATTGTCTTGTTTGAACCCTAACTTTAAATTAGCTATTTTGACTGAAAATTTTTCTTCCCTTTCAAATTTGATACTTCCTGCTAATCATAGCATGAAAGAAACTACATTCCATGCAGAAGAGAAGTCACCTGACTCAAGAAATTTGTGGACTCTTTAACGATATCGCGGAATCTATCATCATCAAACCACCCAAACTTTGTGAGTCGGCATAACAGTTGGATTAAAGATGCAGTAACAAAAGGCTGCAATTTCGGTCCTCTTGCAGCCAGATAATTAATAAGATAACTCCCTATAAAAAAAAAAATCAAAAGAATTACATCCAGTGACACAAAAGTATACTCAAAATTTTGTGGAAACAATTTGAAATCCACTAGCCGAATATAAAATGAAAGCTAGCAATAGTCTAAAAGTTACAGATATCAAGGCGAAGCGGCAAAGCAAGGGTATGATCTGTGACTTGCTTCAACAGACTAGAACTAGCAAGCATCAAGGCATAAGGAGTCAATGCATTGTCAAGAATGTACTGGCACTGTGAAATGTACTCGATGTTCACCGAGAAGCATTTCAAAGTGTTCTCAGCATGAGCACGTTCAGCTGAGTCTTGCGAATTATACAGCCTTTCACACAATGCCTCCAGCTGTGCTAAGCTCTCCATTTGCAGCTAACCAAATCTGAAATGACAAAAATATTATCCAACTTTCAGAAACAATTAAATGTTTGAGAACTGGAATAGCAGATATTTTTATACATAGATGTTAACAACTTTGAAAACATTTAAAACACGAAATAACATCAATCTCACTGTTATTGACCTACAACTGAGCATAACAAATGAAGTACTGCCTTTTTGTTTAGATGCACGGAAAATCATGGGATAAAAAATGAGAATGGCGTAAAGAATCGATCCAAACAATTGAGAAATCAAGAATGACAGAAAAACAAACAGAAATACTACACGATTACTGAAATAGATCAATCCGCATAAGATATCAACTGAAACAGCCATAGAAAATGAATCCATCGCAAATTCGCAATGTAATCCATAGGAATCAGTTTAGAAAAACACTAAACCAAATAGGAGAGTCTTAAAGACAGAAACTACTAGATGATTACTGAAAAGAAATCAATCTCCACAAGAAAACAGATGAAACATGCAGAGAAAATGAATCCACTGCAAATTTTAAAATGTAATCCATTATCCATGCCACTCAGTTCAGAAAACAGCATCCAGACAGAAAATTCTTGACGAGAATAAAGTATAAACTGATTGATCAAAGTGTTTCTCAACTTCAAAATCACTGCGGAAGCACTTGAATCAATGAACGATCATGTATGAATATAAGCACAAAAAACCGATATACCTTTGATCTCAGACTTTGGAAAAGTGATTATGAGAAGAGAGCTTATTTCGTTGTTTGGATTCCAGGAAAATGAGATAGAAATTATCTCAAAGAGTGAGGATTTGCGGATGCTTGGATTCTTAGGGACGTCTTGGTCTCCAATAGCGAAGAGAGAAGAATGTTTTCTTTTCTACTTCTGTTCCCGTTTTGCGTTTTTAAAGGAGTGGGTTTCGTTGTTCTTTTGTCCTGTGGGTGAATTTCTTAATATCGCTCGGTGGTACACCTCCTCTATTTGCCATTAACTTTCCGTTCCCGTTACACTTAACGTGTGGTACTTTTTTTATTATTTTTAAGAATTTTTTTTTTAAGAAATTAAAAAGAGATTTGGAACTCTTCTCTTCCTTAACAAGTCTAGGAAATAAAATAAAATAAAATAAATTAAAAGAATGATCCTTATGGATGAAGTATGTTCTCAATAATATACGGCTATTGTGTAGAATTCAGGCATAAAAGGAACCTTTATCACCATAATATTAAATGTAGAATGCTTATATATAATTATAACATTTTCGATAACCACAAGCAATATCATGGGAAATTATTTTCTTAAAAGGTATAAATCGGGCTCCCTCCTCTTTTAGTGTATAAAACATGATTCCATGTAGTAAAATATAAGATTGTTTATAGATAAATTGGTGAAGTAGTAGATGATTTTTTGAAAAAATAATCAAGTTTT